CAGGGTCTGCCTCACCACCACCCCGGGGCCTCCCTCACCACCACCACCCCAGGGTCTGCCTCACCACCACCACCACCACCACCCCAGGTCTCCCTCACCACCCCAGCCCTCCCTCACCACCACCCCAGGTCTCCCTCACCACCACCACCACCACCCCAGGCCTCCCTCACCACCACCCCGGGGCCTCCCTCACCACCACCACAGGTCTATCACCACCCCCCCGGGGCCTCCCCCACGCGGCTCAGGACGGGGTGGTGAGAAGCTCGGAGAGCTGACAGCCCGGCTACACGACTTTAAAACTCGCGGCCATCTCCTCATCATCATCCTCCTCCACCACTCCACCTCCTCCTCCTCATCTCTCGGCCATTTTCCCGCCCTCAGTTGGAGGCGAGACCCTCGTGAGGGGCGGGGGGGAGGGGGGGGGTGCCACCGTCCTGCTCGCTGATTGGGCCGCGCGGTGCTGACGTCACGAGGCCTCGCGCTGTGATTGGCTGCGAGGGCATTTTTTTACGCGGGAGATGCCGCAATTGGCGGGAAGCGAGCAGCACTTCCGGGTCTCGTCTCTACTTCAAATCAGCATCGGCGGAGCAGCAGCAGCAGCTAAGACTACGACAACCACCACCACCATCATCATCATCAGCTGCTGCTGCTGTAAGTACTAGGATATCATCATCATCAGCAGCAATAACGAGCCCAGCGTCCTCGGCACGGAAGAAATTCGCAGCAGAAACTATGGGAACTTTTAAAGTCTTTTGTCAATGTTTGCGAAGCATTATATTTGAGGAGTTGATGTTGTTGTTGGTGCTGCGTCGTGTGTGGGTGGGTGTGTGTCCCCTTTGTGTGTCCGTGTCGTCGAGTCCGCTTCTATCTCTCAGAATCAAAATAATTATTTGTCCTGGAGAAATACGATTAGTTGTGAAGCTCCTTTTCACAGATGTTCAGTGCGGGTCCGACCGTTACAACAACAAGCTCCCTTCGTGTGGCTGTCCCTGTGTCTTTGTGTACTCTATGGTTGTACTATCGTATGGTTGTAGTCTTGAATGGTTGTACTCTTGTGGGTGGGAGCGGTGGCGCAGTGTTATGTCTGAACTTTTTTCGCACCGTACGTAGCCAACCGTGCTAATCGTTTGTGTGTGGGGAGGAAAGACAAACCAAAACAGAGCCGTTCTAAAGAGATGAGTTTTCAGTGGTTTAACCACGCGGCCAACATCAGTAGCGCGTGATATCTGAGCAGGTCCTGGGCCTCTCGTAGGTTGACTCTGCCTAAACATCAGCAGTGGTGGGGAGACAAAAGGCAGCTTGGCTCGGCGTGGTGTTGGCCACCCAGCCCCTCGTGTACGCTCCCAACCTGCATCGGCGCTAACAGCCCTTGAACCAAAACAGCAGCCTGTTCAAGTCTCTATCCGGGGGATATTTGTACTCGCCCGTGTGGTCTTTGCCTGGCCTGTGTCCGTCTGTGAGCTCACTAATTCACGATCTCTCTATCTCTGTCCCTATGCATCGCATCCCTCGCCTCGTTCTCTGGCCTAACTCTCCAGCAATCCGTCCGGTGCAGGCCGTACAACGCAACCCCAGTGTGGCCATCTTCTATCATATTTAATTATGTTATCGGAATTTCTAGTGTAGTCATTGAATGTTGTTAATGTCAGCTTTCAAGTTCGCTTGGGTTGTATTTCTACTTGTGAGTGTAGTTACATTTTTATGCACGGCGCTTTGAGATGCAGTACTTTTAAATGACAGGCGCTCTCTAATATATGTATTAGTCCCCACGACGCAAACAACGTCGTGCTATTCTGTGTAATTAAATGGGTTTGCTGTGAACGAGTACCCATACCGAACGGAGAGGGTCCCTGCCAATTCTATTCTTGCGTGTGATGGCACCAGCAATGTTATAATTGTTTTTTTTACCCTTTTGTCTGGCAACAAAACTGACACCTTTTTTTACAAGGAGTCATGTTGGCATAGACCACAATACTTGCAGTCGTAATGCAAACAAAAAACATAACTCTAATGTATGCACTGTCCTTGAAGTTGATTGGTCCACACCCGAGACAGCTTTCCTTAGAGCCGCGTCTCACATGGTGTTGGACCAGATGACGCCAAAAGGCGCACAACTCTTAAGACAATGCACCATCAGAGTATGAGAGCTCTGGGTAAGCATTTACACCATTTGAACCTCATTTGCCAGTAAAAAAACATGATAATTGTTTTTTTACCCTTTTGTATGGCAACAAAACAGTTTTGTTGCCAGACAAAAGGGTAAAAAAAACCTATTATATTTTTCTACTGGCAAATGAGGTTCCAACCAGCCATGTTGTTCAGGAGCTCCATACCAGTGTCTATGTTCAATTCCTGCTTCTGGCCACCACGAGAGGGCGTCGCTGTTGTTGAAACAGCGCAAACCACAGTGGTGGGTTCACTGCGGTCCGTAGTCTGCGTTGTATGGCACAGTCTAACTCCTGTTGCTTGTGTCTTTAACGTGTCTCCGTGGGTCTCTATGTATCTGTACGAGTCTCTCTCTCTCTGGTCCGTAGTCTGGGTTGCATAGCCACAGTCGCACTACCGTGGCTTGTGGTTTTAATTTTCAATTTCATTTTCCTTGCCTCCTAAACATCTGAAAAGGTCAACCGTATTGGTCCAGGTCTAGATTGACTGCTGATGAGACTTTGAATGTAAAACAAACTGTTTCACATGTGTTGAACCAGCACTGGTGAAATCTGCCAGAAGGTCGTGTGGTTGATGGGATGTATTAATAAGTATAACCCGTAAAAACAAAGTTTTTCACTATAAATCCTTTATATGCGTGGCGGCTAGTCCTCTCGTCCTCTGGCTTGAGATTGCTGCCACCTATGGGTCAGATGATTGCATTGCACCATTAAGCAATTGGTAATTAAATATATTTTTGTCCTAAAAAGTGTAAAATTTTGGAAAAAAAATTTCACGAACATTAATTGTCACACAACGAGTCTGTGGAAACTGTCAGCTCGATTGGATCACGGGAAGTGGGTTAAAAAACGACCGAAACATTTGCACGGTCCTAAGCAAGCAAGCGAACTTAATATAAAGGATTTAATAACAAGTAAACCCGTAAAAACAAAGTTTTTCACTATAAATCCTTTATATGCGTGGCGGCTAGAGTCTTCTCGTCCTCTGGCTTGAGATGGCTGCCACCTATGGGTCAGATGATTGTCTGCCACCATTAAGCAATTGGTAATTAAATATTTAATTTGTTTTCCCTAAACAGTGTAAAATTTAGGAATTTTTTTTCACGAAAATTATTTGTCACACACAACGAGTCTGTGTGGAAAATGTCAGCTCGATTGGATCACGGGAAGTGGGTTAAAAAACGACCGAATGATTTGCACAGTCGTAAGCAAGCACGCAAGCAAGCAAGCCAACTTAATATAAAGGATTTAAAAATAATTTAATGTTGATAGCGCGGTCGTAACACCATCTTACTCGGAGTAAGAAGTGCCTGGGTTCGATTCCCGACGACTCATCAATCGGCTGTGTCGAGTAGCTGAGGATGCGCGACACATTTTATCGACGCGGTCCGACCCACGAATCTTACGAATCGTCTCGTGGAGCAGGAAACGAGGGGGAGGAGGAGGACGAGGAGTGACGCGTCCACTTGTGTGTTCGTTTTGCAGGTGTACCCAAACCCAGCTCTGCGCTCTCCCCGTGACCGGTCCCTCGCCCCTTCGCGCGACGTCAATGGCCACCCCACGCGAGCGCGCCATCGCGCGCAACAGCCTCGTGTCGCTGCTGCAGGCGGTGCTGCACGGGGCGCACGCCGCCGTGGAGCTGCGCGACGAGACGCAGGTTCGCGGCCTCGTGCTCAACGTCGACGCCTTCATGAACGTGCGCCTGGCCGACGCCGAGCTCAAGGAGCGGCGCTCCGGCCGCGTGACGCGGCACGCGCAGGTGCTGGTGAGCGGCCGCAGCGTGCGCTACGTGCTGCTGCCCGACCGCGCCGACCCCGTCGCGGCGCTGGCCGCCCGCTTGCGGCGCGACGACGACGACGCGGCCAGGGCGCCGCGGGCCGGGCGCACGGAGTTCGCGCGGAAGTAGCCGAGGGGCTGCGCGAGACGACGGCGCGTTGTGCGTCTCTCTCCACACCCACACCCGTTGCTGATGTTGTTTACGTACCGCATTTGGCTGTGGCAGCAGTGCGAACCGCTGCGCCAGCGCTTTCCACAACCTAACTGCATGCAGCCTCGCAACCACGCACAGAACCACGTGCAGCCACACACAGAACCACGCACACAACCACACACAGAACCACAAAAAGAACCACTTGCAGCCACACAGAACCACACAGACAACCACACACAACCATTCGCAGCCACACACACAACCACGCACACAGCCACGCACAGAGCCACACACACAACCACACAACCATTCGCAGGCATGCACAGAACCACGCACAGAACCACGCACAGAGCCACGCGAGCGTGTGAGCAATGCTCGTGAACGGAGTCGTGTTGCCGTGCCGATACGAAGTACGAAGATTCGCGAGTTTTAACAAAACTGAATGTGTTTTTTACCCCACTGCTCTTGTATACTTTATCCGTGCTCTGCTGTACTGATGAATAAAGGTTGGGTCAACGTTGTTTACAATCATGGACACTGGCATACGTGCACACACAGATCCCCCCCCCTCCCCTGTATAGCCTCTGACAGGCTGATGGGGCAAGTGCTGTTAGTGGGCACCTATGAAGGCCGGCACGGCACACGAGGGGGATGGGTGGTCAACACCACGCCCGGCCGCCTGGCTGCTCATTGCTGATGCGTCGTTAACACGGCAGCAGCCAATTGACAGCCACTGCTGTTCACCACCAAGCGGCGGTGACGTCACCACGGTGCTTGTGCCAGGATAGGTGCACCTTGAAGCCAAGTGAGGTATGAATGATCACTACTGGCGGGAGGTCACGGGACAGACTCAAGTGGCATGGGGTTACTGAGATTACTGACGGATGCATCATCGGTGCCCCCCCCCCTCCTACTGTGCCAACTTGCTGCAAGTTTAGCCACCCGGCGCTTCGCTCGTTGTTGTGAGCGTCGCTCCTCCGCCCTCCGTTGTTGTTGGAGGGCGACTGCCTCCAACTGCCCAATAGCGTCCTTCACGAGCCTCCTCCACTGAGGCCGATCTTGACACCGCTGGTACCGGTCATCGGCAAGTCCACTCAGCTCCACGTCCTCCTGTCCCACATCAGTCCAGAGCCCTTGGCCGCGCCCGTTTAGCCCCCACTGCGTGGCCAGATGGAAGCTGCGCACACACGCACATAGACACACACGCACATAGACACACGCACATAGACACACACGCACATAGACACACACATATACACACGCACATAGACACACGCACATAGACACACGCACATATACACACACGCACATAGACACACACATATAAACACGCACATAGACACGCACATACATAACAACAACCGCCATTCGCCACTAAGTGGTGGTGACGTCACCACGACGCTTGTGCCAGGCCATGTGCACCTTGAGGCCACGTGAGGTGTCAAACGCCCGCTGGCAGGAGGTCACGGGGCAGACCCAGCAGGTGCCACGGGTCGACTGACCGAGATGACTGGCTGATGCACCACCTGTGCCCCCTACTGTGCCAACTTGCTGTGCTTTAGCCACATACACACACCCACACACGCCCAAACGCATATACACATACGCACACACCCGCACATACACACACGCGCACACACGCACATACATGCACACACGCACATACACACGCACATACACACGCGCATACGCACACACGCATATACACATACGCACACACCCGCACATACACACGCGCGCACACACGCACATACATGCACACACACACACGCACATACACACACGCACATACATGCACACACGCACATACACACACGCACATACACACACGCGCATACGCACACACGCATATACATATACACATACGCACACACCCGCACATACACCCGCGCACACGCACGTAACGCACACACACGCACATACACACACGCACATACACACACGCGCACACACGCACATACATACATGCACACACACATGCACACACACGCACACACACACGCACGCACACACAGCAGAGTGTCTGTGTTTCTCAAACTCTGCCATGGCAACGTGAGTGAGAGAGTCGCGCAGCTCACGTCCCGACTCGCAGCCCTGCGGCGCCTTCAGCCGGAGCAGGTAGACTGCTGCCACTCTCTGCATCGCCTCGTACGTTACACGTGTGTGTGTGTACACGTGTGTGTGTGTACACGCGTGTCTCTGTGTGTGTGTACACGTGTGTCTGTGTGTGTGTTCACGTGTGTGTGTGTGAGCAGGGAGACTGCTGCCACTCTCTGCATCGCCTCGTACGTTACACGTGTGTGTGTGTACACGTGTGTGTGTGTACACGCGTGTCTCTGTGTGTGTGTACACGTGTGTCTGTGTGTGTGTTCACGTGTGTGTGTGTGAGCAGGGAGACTGCTGCCACTCTCTGCATCGCCTCGTACGTTACACGTGTGTGTGTGTACACGTGTGTGTGTGTACACGCGTGTCTCTGTGTGTGTGTACACGTGTGTGTGTGTGTGTGAGCAGGGAGACTGCTGCCACTCTCTGCATCGCCTCGTACGTTACACGTGTGTGTGTGTGTGTACACGTGTGTGTGTGTACACGTGTGTGTGTGTACACGTGTGTGTGTGTGTGTACACGTGTGTGTGTGTGAGCAGGGAGACTGCTGCCACTCTCTGCATCGCCTCGTACGTTACACGTGTGTGTGTGTGTGTACACGTGTGTGTGTGTACACGCGTGTCTCTGTGTGTGTGTACACGTGTGTCTGTGTGTGTACACGTGTGTGTGTGTGAGCAGGGAGACTGCTGCAACTCTCTGCATCGCCTCGTTCGTTACACGTGTGTGTACACGTGTGTGTGTGTACACGCGTGTCTCTGTGTGTGTGTACACGTGTGTCTGTGTGTGTGTACACGTGTGTGTGTGTGAGCAGGGAGACTGCTGCCACTCTCTGCATCGCCTCGTACGTTACACGTGTGTGTGTGTGTACACGTGTGTGTGTGTGTACACGTGTGTGTGTGTACACGTGTGTGTGTGTGTGAGTAGGGAGACTGCTGCCACTCTCTGAATTGCCTCGTACGTTACACGTGTGTGTGTGTACACGTGTGTGTGTGTACACGCGTGTCTCTGTGTGTGTGTACACGTGTGTCTGTGTGTGTGTACACGTGTGTGTGTGTGAGCAGGGAGACTGCTGCCACTCTCTGCATCGCCTCGCACGTACGTTACGTGTGTACACGTGTGTGTACACGCGTGTGTGTGTACACGCGTGTCTCTGTGTGTGTGTGTGTACACGTGTGTCTCTGTGTGTGTACACGTGTGTGTGTGTACACGTGTGTGTACACGTGTGTGTGTGTGTGGGGGAGCGGTAGTGTAGCGGTTAGCGCGCTGCGCTACGAACCGAGCCACCCGGGTTCGGTTCCCGCTCACGGCCAACACCAGTGACGATTATCTGAACCGGTCCTGGGCCTCCCCTAGGTCTACTCAGCCTGAAATGAGCACCTGGTGTGGGGTGTAAACATCGCCACTGCGGAGACAAAGGCGGTCGGGTGTGGTGCTGGCCACCCACCCCCTCGTGTACCGTTCCGGCCTTCATAGGTGCTCGCTAACAGCACTTGCCCCAACAGTCTGTTAAGGCTACACGGGGGATCTTTGTGTGTGTACACGCGTGTGTGTGTACACGCGAGCGGCGCTCCTCCGCCCTCCGTCATTGCTGGAGGGCGACTGCAACAAATGGCCGAGTAGCCTCAACGTGCACCTAGCCTGGCACAAGCGCCGTGGCGACGTCACCGCTGTACCCCCACCCCTCCCTCTATAAGTGACTGCCCCCCCCAACCACACACAGACCTCGCTGCGTCATGGAACGGGGGCACGGGGACTCGAGGAGAGGTGTCCTCCTGCACGCGCGGCGACCCGGGTTTGGAGTCGAACCTGCGTCCCGCAGCTCTGCGGTAGGCGGCGCTGCGAGGCTGGGTGAGCCCGTGTCGCCGTGGCTGTCGGCACGCTCCGTCAGCCGCCTGCAGGTGAGTGGAGGGGGGCTCCACGACACACAAAGGTAAAGCTGCCCCCCCCAAGTGATGTTAGCGAGCGGCACCTGTGAAGGCCGGCACGGCACACGAGGGGAGGTGGGTGGCCAGCACCACACACACGTGTGTCTGTGCAATAGGTGCTCGCTAACAGTTGCCAGTACCACGCCCGGCCGCCTTTGTCTCCCCAATGGCGATGTTGACTAGACAAGGGCGGCTCAAGGTACGGTATTCGTTACCGATGTTGGCTGTGGGCGGGAATCGGCGGGCGGTGCGCTAACCGCTGCGCCACCACTCCTTCCTCGCCACTCAATCTCACAGGACAGGTCCCGAAGGGCAACTCAACGTTTAGACTCGAGTTGAGTTTTCAGTGGGCCACGTTTACGAGAGTTTGCGATGCCCGCTCCAGAGACAAAGAGAGACGGAGCTGATTGATGATCATCGCTGTCATCATGAGTGCATGGCGATGTGGTGATGATGGCGCGTGATGTGGTGGTGATGCGCTGATGTGATGATGGTGTGCGCTGTGATGATGGTGTGCGCTGTGATGATGGTGCGCGATGCAATGTGGTGATGATGATGCGATAATGATGCGATGATGGTGTGCGCTGTGATGATGGTGATGCTGCGCTGATGTGATGATGCTGATGGTGTGCGCTGTGATGATGTGATGATGCTGATGGTGATGATGCTGATGATGGTGATGTATGCGTGTACGCTGTGATGATGGTGATGGTGTGCGCTGTGATGATGATGATGGTGATGATGGTGATGGTGTGCGCTGTGATGATGATGGTGATGATGTGATGATGGTGATGATGGTGATGATGGTGAGCGCTGTGATAATGGTGCGCGCTGTGATGATGGTGATGACGGTGATAACGGTGATGATGGTGTGCGCTGTGATAATGGTGATGATGGTGATGATGGTGATGATGTGCGATGTGATGATGGTGATGATGGTGATGATGGTGATGATGATGTGTGTGTGTGCAGGAGCGTGCGTGCGTGGACACGAGACGGAGCAGAGCCGCCACTCAACCCGTGCTGGATTCGGAGGAGGAATTCGCGCGTGTACGAGCGACACAAAGACAAAGATCCCCCGTATAGCATTAACGTGCTGTCGGGGCAAGTGCCGTTAGCGGGCGCGCCTAGTGCAGGAGTCGGCAGCCTTTAAAAGCCATCTCTTTGTTCTTGACCAAAGTATATGGAGAGCACATCCACGTGTACACAGACGACAGGATGCATTCTGACTTGAAATATGAGGATGGAATAAACTGCGTCCATTTAGTTCACTCCCCCCCCCCCGCTAAGTTATTCTTTAATACGACAGTTGTACATTCTGTCGTCACCAAGACATTCCACAGTGACCCATTCTCTGCTATATTTAAATCAATTATCTTTACGTTAAATTATGTTTTAGATTTAAGTAACAAACACACACAAAACAAACGTCTGCCCGCAACAGGGAATCCAAAGAGCCCCCCACATGATAATTGTTTTTTTTACCCTTCTATCTGGCAACAAAACTGACACCTTTTTTTACAAGGAGTCATGTTTGCATAGATCACAATACCTGCAGCCATAATGCAAACAAAAAACATAACTCTGATAATATATGCACTGTCCCAAAAAAAGTGTCAGTTTTGTTGCCAGATAGAAGGGTAAAAAAACAATTTTCATATTTTTTACTGGCAAATGAGGTTCCAATGGTTTAAAGTCCCCCACATGTTGTCGACTCCTGACCAAGTGGTCTCCGCAGCTACTGGATGCCGCTACGCTCACCTCACCCCCCCCCACCCCACCTTGCAGCAGGTGCGCGCTTACCTGGCGCACGAGGAGGTGATGCGCGTGCGGCGAGCTGAGCTGAGCTTGGCGCGCTGGGAGGAGCGCGCACGGCGAGAGATGAGCGCGGGGCCCGGAGCGCAGCGGGTGCCTGGGCCGGGTCTGAGCTCGCAGCGAGAGATGAGCGCGGGGCCTGGCGAACAGCGGGTGTCTGGGTCGAGGCTGAGCCCCCAGCGGGAGATGAGAGCGGGGCCTGGCGAACAGCGGGTGTCTGGGCCGGGTCTGAGCTCGCAGCGAGAGATGAGCGCGGGGCCTGGCGAACAGCGGGTGTCTGGGTCGAGGCTGAGCCCCCAGCGGGAGATGAGAGCGGGGCCCGGCGAACAGCGGGTGTCTGGGTCGGGTCTGAACGCACGGCGGGAGTTGAGAGCGGGTCCCGGTCCGCAGCGGGAGCTGCACGCGCGCTACCTGGCGCACGTGGGCGAGAAGGTGCGCGGGAGGGGCACGCCACGCGCACCTGCGCTCGACATTTACGCTGCGTGTTAGCGATACGACACAGATCTGCCGTGTGGCCTCAACGGACTGCTGGGGGCAAGAGCTGTCACCACCATCATCACAGCGCACACCATCACATCATAACAGCATCACAGCGCACACCATCAGCATCATCACAGCGCGCACCATCATCACATCATCATCACATCATCACATCAGCCCACCATCACCATCATCACAGCGCGCACCATCATAGCGCGCACCACCACCATCATCACATCAGCGCACCATCAGCATCATCACAGCGCGCACCATCATAGCGCGCACCACCACCATCATCACATCAGCGCACCAGCATCATCACATCACGCGCCATCATCACCACATCGCCATGCACTCATGATGACAGCGATGATCATCAACAGTACAGTACACCCAGACCTGCATTCGGGGTCAGGACATTTTTAAGACTAACGCCGGAATGTCAGCCAAAGCGGAGATGGAGCGACGAAACCGGCTCATACGGAGGGAATCGATGGATTCCTACATCGCAGGGCCGTGAGAGATATAGCGATGGGTTAGGGGAGGGGGGACTTTATCCAGCAGTGGATCGACCATGGCTGACGATGTAAATCTTTGTTGATGCCCTCAGGGCTTCGTGTTCCTGGACTCGTTTGACCCCTGGGAGTACGACCCCTTCGCTCTGTCTCCACGGGGACGCGCCGTGAAACAGGTGAGTAAATGAGTACGTGGGTTGGTGAGTGGACGAGTGAATGGGTGGGTGAGTGGGTAGCCAAGTGAGTGGATGGGTGAGCGATGTGCTAAGCGGGTTGGGCGAGTTGGTGAATGAGCGTCAGAGTTGGTGGGTGAGTGAGTTGGTGGGCGAGTGGGTGAGTTGGTGAGTGAGTGGATGAGTGAGTGGATGAGTAGGTGAGTGAGTGGGTGAGTTGGTGAGTGAGTTAGTGAGTGAGTGGATGACTAGGTGAGTGAGTGGGCGAGTTGGTGAGTGAGTGAGCGAGTTCGTGAGTTGGTGAGTGAGTGGGTTAGTGAGTGAGTGGACGAGTAGGTGAATTAGTGGGTGAGTTGGTGAGTGTGTGGGCGAGTTCACGAGTGAGTCGACTAGTAGGTGAGTGAGTGGGCGAGCGAGTAAATGAGAGTGGACGAGTCGGCGAGAGGGCGGGTGGGTGAGTGAGTTGGTGAGCTGGGTGAGTTTGCTGACCGCGTGTTCCTGTGTCTGCGCGGCAGAGATTTACAAGCGCGTGCCCGAGGCTGGGCCACGCGAGGCGCGGGGCCACGTGCAGCACCTGAGCACGCTCCTGTACTCACCTGAGCACGCACCTGCACGCACCTGCACGCACCTGCACTCACCTGCACTCACCTGCACGCACCTGCACTCACCTGCACGCACCTGCACGCACTTGCATGCACCTGCACTCACCTGCACTCATCTGTACGCACCTGCACTCACCTGCACGCACCTGCACGCACCTTCACGCACCTGCACTCACCCGCACGCACCTGCACTCACCTGCACTCACTTGCACGCACCTGCACGCACCTGCACTCACCTGCACTCACCCGCACTCACCTGCACGCACCTGCACGCACCTGCACACCTCCCAAACCCACACGCACATCCACAGAGCTGCACACCCTATCCCTACACACATACAACGATCCCCCGTGTAGTATTTAACAGACTGTTGGGGCAAGTGCTGTTAGCGAGCACCTATGAAGGCCGGCACAGCACACGAGGGGCTGGGTGGTGACCACCACGCCCGGCCGCCTTTGTCTCCCTAGTGGCGATGTTTACACACCGCACCAGGTATTCATTTGAGGCTGAGTCGACCTACCGGAGGCCCAGGGCCGGTTCAGATAATCGTCATTGGTGTTGGCCGTCAGCAGGAATTGAACTCGGGTCGCTGGGTTCGTAGCGCAGCGTGCTAACCGCTGCGCCACTGCTCCACATCTGCCCTTGCACTTTTCGTTACGTGGGCCCTACCGGAAGCACTTGTCACCACACTGCAGGTCAGAATACACGCTCACCCACCCACTCACCCACTCACTCACCCACCCACTCACTCACCCAGCCACTCACTCACCCACCCACTCACTCACCCACCCACTCACTCACTCACCCAGCCACTCACCCACCCACTCACTCACCCAGCCACTCACCCACCCACTCACCCACCCACTCACCCAGCCACCCACTCACTCATTCACCACACTGCAGGTCAGAAATACACGCTCACCCACCCACCCACTCACCCACTCACTTACTCACTCACTCACCCACTCACTCACTCACCCACTCACCCACCCACTCACCCACTCACTCACTCATTCACCCACCCACCCACCCACTCACCCAGCCACTCACCCACCCACTCACCCATCCACTCACTCACTCACCCACCCACTCACTCACCCACCCACTCACCCACCCACTCACTCACCACACTGCAGGTCAGAATAGACGCTCACCCACCCACCCACTCTGCCACCTACCCACTCACCCAAGCACTCACTTACTCACCCACTCACTCACTCACTCACCCTCCCACCCACTCACTCACCCACCCACTCACTCACCCACTCACCCACGCACCCACTCACTCACCCACTCATCACACTGCAGGTCAGAATACACGCTCACCCACCACCCACTCACCCAGCCACTCACTCACCCACCCACTCACTCACTCACCCACTCACTCACCCACCCACTCACCCACCCACCCACTCACTCACTCACTCACCCACCCACCCACCCACCCACTCACTCACTCACTCACCCACCCACCCACTCACTCACCCACTCACCCACCCACCCACTCACTCACTCACTCACCTACTCACCCACCCACTCACTCACCTACTCACTCACCCACCCACCCACTCACCCACCCACCCACTCACTCACCCACCCACTCACTCACCTACTCACTCACCCACCCACTCACCCACCCACTCACTCACTCACTCACCCACCCACTCACTCACCTACTCACCTACTCACTCACCTACCCACTCACTCACCTACTCACTCACCCACCCACTCACCCACCCACCCACCCACCCACCCACTCACTCACTCACTCACTCACCCACCCACTCACCTACTCACTCACCCACCCACTCACTCACCTACTCACTCACCCACCCACTCACCCACCCACCCACTCACTCACTCACTCACCCACCCACCCACTCACTCACTCACCCACCTACCCACTCACTCACTCACTCACCCACCCATCCACCCATCCACTCACCCACCCACCCATCCACTCACCCACCCACCCACCCACTCACTCACTCACCCACCCACCCACCCACTCACACACTCACCCACCTACCCACTCACTCACTCACTCACCAACCCATCCACCCATCCACTCACCCACCCACCCATCCACTCACCCACCCACTCACCCACTCACCCACTCACCTACTCACTCACCCACCCACCCACTCACCCACCCACCCACTCACTCACCCACTCACTCACTCACCTACTCACTCACCCACCCACTCACCCACCCACCCACTCACTCACTCACTCACCTACCCACTCACTCACCAACTCACCTACTCACTCACCTACCCACTCACTCACCTACTCACTCACCCACCCACTCACCCACCCACCCACCCACTCACTCACTCACCCACCCACTCACCTACTCACTCACCCACCCACTCACTCACCTACTCACTCACCCACCCACTCACCCACCCACCCACTCACTCACTCACTCACCCACCCTCTCCACCACCCACTCACACACTCACCCACCTACCCACTCACTCACTCACTCACCCACCCATCCACCCATCCACTCACCCACCCACCCACCCATCCACTCACCCACCCACTCACCCACTCACCACACTGCAGCTCACCTCACTTCTCTCTGCGTCTTCCATCACACTGCTCCACTCTCCTCCCAACATCGTCTCACCACCCCCCTTTGCCCCCCCGCCCTCCAGCTCGTATAACATTGCTCAATTAAAGGAACCTGTTGTCATCGATGACAAACATGATGGTGCTGAATGTTGCTGGCCGCTTGACGTTATTCGTACTGCTCGGCAACTCTTCACGATCCCCGCCGCGTCCGCTAGAGGCCGCTGTCGCCTCGCCTGAGAGCAGCAGCAGCAGCAGCGCGCCACTCACGAATCCGAGTGACCTTTCCCGATACAAGGGACGTCCCTGGAGGAGACGGAGCGATGAAATGAGATCACGAGCAGGAGCCACGTGGGATTGTTGCGTCTCAACACCGGCTTGGGGTGGCCTTCATCCAGCAGTGGATTGATCATGACCGATGATGATGATGATGAATACGTGATTACAATTTAAATAAACGATTTTATACTGGTAGGAACCTCCTGGTTACACCAGCCCACAGGGGATTATTGTGTCCGTCCGTCCGTCGTGCATCCAAAAATGGGAGGGGTGGGGCTGGGTGGAGAGGGGCGGGTGGGGAGGGGCTGGTGGGGAGGGGCTGGGTGGGGAGGGTGGAGCTGGGTGGGAGGTGGGGTTGGGTGGGGAGGGAGGGGCTGGGTGGGGTGGGTGGGGCTGGGTGGGGAGGAGCTTGGTGGGGAGGGTGGGGAGGGGCTGGGTGGGGAGGGGCTGGGTGAGGAGGGTGGGGCTGGGTGGGGAGGGGCTTGGTGGGGAGGGTGGGGAGGGGCTGGGTGGGGAGGGGCTGGGTTGGGAGGGGCTGGGTGGGGAGGGGCTGGTCACCCCGTGGTGCCCTTATAAAACTCAACGTTTAACCTACTCACGCCGCCTTGTGCCCGCCCCCCTTCCCCGCGGGGTATCCCCTCGCAGGGCCAACGGGGGAGCGTGACCCCCACGGCAGACCTCAAGGGGGTCGGGGGGTACCTCGATCTCCCCTGGACCCCATCAGACGAAGGACCCGGGGCGCGAGCCGAGGGGTCCCCTGCCCCACGCCCCCTCACCCCCCAGGCTACCCCCGGTGTGTCGGGATGTACCAGCGGTGTCAACATCGGCCTCTGTGCAGGAGGTTGGTGAAGGACGCTGCCGCTGCTGCTACCGGGCAGTTGGAGGCAGTCGCCATCCAGCAACGACGGAGGGCAGAGGAGCCACGCTGCTGCTGTCAGCAGCGAGCCTTCGACGCCTCACGTGGAGTGCACCTAGCCTGGCACAAGCGCCGTGGTGACGTCACCGTCGCTGAGTGGCGATTGGTGGTTGTTGTTGTACTGTCACGCATCTCTGTGTATTGCCATTGAATGTACCGTCGCTTTCTCGATCCACTGCTGGATGAAGGTCTCCGGGTTGTTGTTGTGACCGCTGCCACCATCTGCGTCTCTAATCTCTCTCTCTCGTCCACCTCGTGTGGAACTCTCCTCCACAGCTCTCTAATCTCTCTCTCTCGTCCACCTCGTGTGGAACTCTCCTCTACAACTCTCTAATCTCTCTCTCTCGTCCATCTCGTGTGGAACTCTCCTCCACAACTCTCTAATCTCTCTCTCTCGTCCACCTCGTGTGGAACTCTCCTCTACAACTCTCTAATCTCTCTCTCTCGTCCATCTCGTGTGGAACTCTCCTCTACAACTCTCTAATATCTCTCTCTCGTCCATCTCGCTAGCCTGGATCTCTCCTCTGACTGCGCATGACCCAACATTATGTTAAAGCTATACGGGGGATCTTTGTCTGTGTGCTGTGCTAATCGGAGCGTGTGCCCCACGTCACAGGCAGCCGAAGTCTGGATTTGAACCCGGGTGCTCCGCGTCTCTGGCTGAACTCTGGAGGCCACGTGGTCTGCGGAGTTCCCAGTCGCGACAGCAGTGGCTCGTGGGGACGCGGAAACTCCGAGACGGTTTTTTATTAAAAGAACAGAAACCTTCAATCAGAATCGGCAGCGAGCGACGGCGGAAACGATAAAGAGTCAACAACAAATAATAATCAATTAATCAATAAATCAAGATAACAAATCAATGATAAAAATCACCATCATCATCCACACCACCACCACCATCATCATCCCCACCATGGCCACCATCAACACCACCACCTTCATCACCACCACCAACCATCACCAACCATCACCACCATCATCACCACCACCAACCATCATCACCACCACCATCATCACCACCACCATCATCACCTCCATCATCACCACGACCACCATCATCACCTCGCGCAGGCTGACCCGACCCTCGACATCGGCGCAGCGGTCCTGGGCCTCCCCTAGGTCGACTCGGCCTTAAACGAGTACCTAGTTGCGGTGTGTAAACATCAGCACTTGGGGAGACAAAGGCGATGGCGTGGCTTGATCACACCATCTCCTCGTGCACCGTGCCAGCCTTAATAGTTGCTCACAAACAACTCTGGCTGCCAGCATTCTGTGTGGGTGTCATTTTTCCTCTGTGTGGGCGACACGGTGCGTGCAGTGTGGGTGTCATCCGTCCGTCAGTGGTGTTGGCCCCCCAACCCCGTCCTGTACCGTGCCGGGATTCATCGGCGCTACTCGCTAACAGCACTTGCCCCCAGAGTCTGTTGAGGCTTTACTGGGGAATCGTTGTTTGGTGAGAGAGAGAGAGAGTGCGGAACGAGGGGGAGAGGAAGAACATCGCCTCTCTCGCAGACCCACGCCGCGCGGGCGCGGTGGGGAGCTGTCTGCATAGTGACCACACGACTCGCTCACTCGCTGGCGACGACGATGATGACGACGACGAATTTATCGACATTAGGTGCAGTGCCGAATTGGACGCGATGGTGTTTTGTTTTTTTGGAACGTAATCATCTGTGACCAGGATGATACCATTGACTAACTGCACTTGAAAACTCCGGTTTAATCGTGGGTCAGTGGCTGCAACCCGCACTCAAACACAGTGTCCGGGCCCTGTTGGTCTCGTCCCTTGAGCTCAGAAGAAATAAACCTGCGACGAAGTCGCATTACTGTTGACCGATTTTTTTAGATTTTTCGCGCTCGGGTCCACGTGCAGATTCACGGGGAGCGTGAGGGCTGTGTGGAGTCGGTAGCATCTGTCCCGCGGAATCTATCCTGGGCAATCTATCTCGACGCGTCTGTCCTCGCGAATCTGTACCCAGGAATCTATCCTGGGCAATCTATCTCGACTTATCTGTCCCG